GAGCCACCTCATTCCACTGAAGATGCTGGCCCAGAAGGCACTGACAAGGGTACCATAGTCTTTCTTGCTACAGTTACCAAATCTGACAGTTGGCAGAAATAGCTTTCTGTGGATCATCAAATAGCTTTCTGTGGACTACATCTTTGGCTTGAACACAGTGTAGGGCCAGAGGTGTATTGTCTGCAAAAAATATGGGGGTCACCCTTTTAGCAACAGGGGCAGAAAGCAAACAGTTTACAAACTCCACTTTAAGTCTGTCATTAGGAAAATTCTCAGGGATAATTTTCACCTGATCCCAAAGTGCCTAGTTGTCTAGCCACACAGAGAAGATTTATCTAGCAACACAGGAAGCCACCTTGATTCCCCTCCAGGGTTGAGAAAGGCAGGGTAGAAATGCTGTAAATACACAAATAAATTTACATTGTAGATGTAATGCAGTTTGACACTACTTCAGCTGTTATGGCTCATTGTTATGGAATCATGGGAATTTAGCCTTCTCTACCAAAAAGTGCAGGTGCCTCAACAAATTGCAAATCTCTGAATTCCATAGCATTGGGCCATGGCAATTAAAGGAGAGTCAGATTGCATTAATGCTGCTCCAGGAGACCCATGCATCTGTGGATTTCAATGTCTTTTCTGTGTAGTCTGACATAATGGTTATCAGAGTGGTCCAACATTTCTGTGTTCTCAAATATTTTTCCGTGTCCACATTGGTTCATCAAGTGCTCTGCTATAGCTGGCTTCTCTGCAGATTAATTCAACCAGTGTAGTCCCATGTTGAAACAAAAGCATGGTATAATTTAAACCAAGAAACAATTATAATTGTTCATCATTAGGGTCTTATTCTCACCCATGGTTTTCTAATACTTTACAGTTTATATTGTCACAAATTCATTCGACTTTAAGAAGTCATAAGAGGTAACAGACTTAACATGGATATTTCTCTAAAAAAATCAGTATCCCTTGATATATGAAGTTGCTTCTCTGTTTACCCAATGTATGTTCTAAAAATAATAACTATTTTGATAAGCATAAAAAGACTGAAATAAAGTTTGACTTAAGAAGTGGGTAACAAACAACAATATAAAAGTAATCATTTTTGCTGAAATTATGCAGCTCTTGGTCACAACAGTGACAGTCCTAGGTTGTAGCCATGACTGCCATTGAACATTTGCATACAACCTACATGTAAACAAACTGTGGCAAACTGTAGATCAGTGATGGCAAACCTTTTAGAGATGGAATGCCCACACCAGGGGTGAAGGGAAGGGGAATCAGGGGGTGGTGAGTGGGTGTGTGTGGCAGTAAGTGGGGTGGAAAGCCCAAGGGGGGGGGAGCAAGTGGGGTGGTGGAATAAGCAAGCAAGTGAGTGAGTGAGAGGGGGGCAGGTGGGTAGGCGAGTGAGCAGGTGGGTGATCAAGCAAGGGGATAGGCAAATGGGCAAGTGAGTAAGGGAGGGGGGGAAGTGATGGCAATGCATGCCATAAGTTCACCACTACTGCTATAGATGTTACCAAGCAGCTATGTCCTAGCATATACCTGATGGTAAGCTACTGTTCTTTTTTTTGCCAATTTAATGAAATTTATTTTAATGAGATCTTCTTTGCATTGTGTGTGTGCATTCAAGTTCCCTATCATCTTATGATGATCCCATGAATGTAATAGATTTTCCTTAGGAAAAGCATTCAGGCAGTTCACATGTTATAAACAAGATAAGTTCTATAGGTTTATTCTTAAGTTGAATTTGTAAGTATAACTACAGCCTCTCTCTCTCTCTCTCTATCTCTCTCTCTCTATCTATCGAGAGAGTGCTTTGAATAGCATAGAGAAGGGCTAACATCCTTGTGGTGTTTGTTTTTATGTCTGTGCCCCTGTTGGGCTGTAGGGGTCAATTTCTCTCACTTCCCATTGTCTCTCCCCCTATGAGACGTTTGTAAGTCAGTTTTTGTTAACTCAGGATTGCCTGTACTCTGATATGGTTTTGCCAGGTCCTTCCTCACAAGTAAAATCTAAAACTACTCACACTTTTTATGAGTCACTCCAGGAAGTACAAAGTTTATTACAGATTAAAGTCCTTAGTTGAAAGTGTACTTTCAACGACAGCAGAGACGTGTTTACATTTTAACACAGTCAGACAATGTGGCAGTACTTTTTAACAGAGTTCATAAAATTATTTTTAAGAAGAGTTGATAGAATGACATCTATAACTGATCAGTGATGGGATAACAGTCTCCAGTCAGTTATGGATGGCTTCTTCATGACATTGTATTCATTCTAAGTAACATTACACATGCTGCCATTTTGTCACAATAAAATGTATTAGTTTTCAAAGAGGTGGCAATATTAGCCTTTCACATGATAAACAGGAAGAAGGAAAGAGGAGGAAAAAGGAAAAATAAATGTGGCAAAATCTTTAAGACTAAGTTGTCTTTTATTTTTGCATGAGCTTTCATGGATAGAAATCTGCTTTTTCAGGTGCTGTACCATTCTGTACCACTTTGTTCTAGATCCAAATAAGTGGGTTACATCCATAAAAGCTCATGTGAAAATAAAAGCCATAGTCTTAAAATGTGCTGTAACATTTCCCTTTTCTTCTTCCCTTTCTTCCTAGTTTTTATGGGAACACTGGTATATGTTCAATGTATTGTCGAAGGCTTTCATGGCCGGAATCCATGGGTTGTTGTAGGTTTTTCCGGGCTATATGGCCATGTTCTGGAGGCAATTTTTCTCCTGACGTTTCGCCTGCATCTATGGCAAGCATCCTCAGAGGTAATGAGGTCTGTTGGAACTAAGAAAAATTGGTATATGTTTATTCTGTACGTGTTGCATATAATCCAAAATTCATACTATGACTTACTTGTTCATCTGCATAGGATACTCAAAGAAAATCTTGCTACTTCTAAAGAGGGATGGATGAAATGTTCTTGTGTTTTTATACTGTGACTTTGGGGGCAATGAACACTTGGATTTGATCACCACAAGAACAGTAAGAAAGATCCTTGTAAAATTATTCAAAGATGAGGGAATGATATGGAAATCTTTTGACATCATCCTGTGGCTCATTGCATTCAGCTACTCATAGATATGGCATTAGGTCTAGAAATATCATATAGGACATAGGGCAGCTGTTAAAGCCTGGCAAATACTTGAGCCCGGGGGTAGGTCAATTAACAGATTTTTAGATTTGGAAGAGACCATAAGGGTCATCCAGCCCAACCCCCCTTTTTTCCTTGAACACCAATGTGTTCAGGGAATGCAGGTCTTGTTTCGAGTGCATCTTCAGAACTTTAGGACATTTTAGCATGGGTCCTGATTTAGTTGTGAGAAGATGGGAGCATGGGTGCCCTTCAAATGTGGCTTTGGATCCTCTTGTGAGAAACAGGATTATGTCCAGCTTGTGTGGCAGAGGAACCATGTAATGGTTTCTATCCCTGTGGAATCAAATGCTTGAAATTTCTGGAGGTGGCCTGGGTGAATTGGTTGCCATACTCAGCACCTAAGTTGGCAGGAGGGTTGATTGGTATTGGATCCAGGGCATGCTGGTGCCAAGCCTCTTTAGCTGTAAGCAATAAATGAGAATGCTTTATTCCAGGAAATGTTGTTTGTGTTGTCATTACTAAATTGAGCTTCAGTTGTTCCTGAGCTCACAATGACATGTATTTGCTCCTTATTGCAAAACATATTTTTAGCCTTAGCGGAAGCTATTTGTGAGGTCATTTCTCTATTTTAATGGCTTGAAAAATTAAAAGCATTTTGAAAAAGGATGCACTAATAGAGGGTTACAAATACATACTCCCATTATACTTATGGTTAATGTATTATCATTTTTAAGTAATGGCTACTGTGCTGTTTAATGCTGGGCCTGAAATAATGTCTGTTTACAGGACGTGCCTTCTGTATGCCCAACGGGACGCCGGGGTGCCTCAGCTGAAGGGCCCCTTAGATTTCCCAACACAAAGTTCTATTGAGGCTCAAAATAAGTTCAACAAAGTTCTTTATTTGGGCTTAAATCTTCAAACAAATGAATTAAATGCTTATAACCCTTATAACCCTTATAAATGCTTTGATCTATGTTAATTTTATCCATATCTGTATGTATGTATTTTTATCCTTTACAATTTAGCTTGTAAATCGCCTAGAGCATCTTGGATGGAGGGCGATGAATAAGTAATAAAATGATGATGATGAATGATGATAACCTTGGAAAACCGGTAGCTTCCTCAGTCTGCTATCAAGGGCAGGCAACTGGTGATAAACTGTTCCTTTCTTCCTTAGGGAAATCTTATGACCCCTCCCTGGGCAATCTTTCTTTACCTTGCTGGTTTGAGGCACCTACTCCCGGCTCCAAACTACTTTATGGATAGCCCGAGTGGTCCCTTACCAGACAATGTTTGCTGTAGATCTGCCAAGCTGAAAGGTGTCCTTTAGTTTTACTCCACAAAGGCTGTAGGAACTGTCCTGTTGCCCCAGCAAAGGCTGGCTGTATTCCCCCAGCAAAAGATGTGGGACCATCCCTTTACTCCCCCTGGCAGAGCTGTGAGAAGTGAAGCTTTTGTGCAGGTGGGAAAGAGAATCCCACACGTCCTGCTGTTAGGCTTCAAACAGTGAGACTGAACAAAAGTCCTCCTTTGCCTCCAAAACCCTGGGAAAAGGGGTGGGTCTAAAGACTCTAACAATGATTGCCAGGTTGCTGGCCCTATGACTGCAACCCGGGGAAGCTACCTGATTGCAAAATGTGTGGCTAAAATAAATTCATACAAACTAGCAAAGCAAGAAAAAGAGATTCAAATCTTCTGGTACTGCCGTGCCACCACAGCTCTAGTAACCCTTTAGCTATTTTAATAATGTTTCTGAGATCTACCCAATGCTTTGGGAGGGCATCTGTTCTATCGACACTATGGCAAACCTGATTCTGGTCACAAATCTGTTGTGATGTTATCTATTGCAAATGGCTGTTTCTGACAAAGCAAATAACATACTTTTTCCCCCTTGCCTTGTAGATAATGTTTTGCACTTTGAATACCCACAAAATTGATATGGACAAGCTCCTAGGAGTTCAGATTGGTCTTGAAGACTTTATATTTGCACACATAAAAGGAATAAAAAAGGAAGTGCAAGTTTTCAAATCTGAAGATTCACTTGGGCTTACCATTACTGACAATGGAAATGGATGTGCCTTCATAAAGGTAAAGATGATGAGAGTGTGAAATGTTTGGGCAGAAATGGAATAACAAAATTGTTTTAGTGATTGTTTGTTTCACTTAAAAGGGTGTAGAATCACACTATGGAAATCAATCCATGCTTTAAAAAGTATGGTGTGAATGTGGGGTATTGACAACATGACATAAATGCGAGAAAAGGGCTGAAATCCTATAGCAGTGGTTTAAAATGTTTAATTATGTGGATTTTAGTAAAATTATTTATTTGTATTAATAGTTTTTAAGATTTGCTTTGTTTTATTTTTTTGTGAGTCATCAAGGAATAAATGTGATATAAATTAAATAAGTCAACAAAGTACCTGTTGCACTCTAGCCTTAGGAGTCACCCTTTTTCACCTAGCACCACACCAGAGTCCACTAGTATCTAACTATAGCAATTTATTTTAAAAAGCATATACAAAAGGGAAAAATGCAATTCCCCAAAAGCAGTAGGAAAGGTGCTATAAAATAGCAGTAGTACATATGTACAAAGTTTGATAGTCCATAAAGGCAAGGTACATGGAATCCAGGAAATCAAGATCATAGGCATAAATCATAAGCATGAAAACAGTAGATATTCCAAGGTAAAGCTTTTACAGGAACATAGGCAAACACACGAACATGGAACTTGATTCTATGGCAACGTTGTCTACTCTGGAGACTCTGAGAAAACATCACTTAATTTAAGCTCAGGCCCTATGAAGAAACCACGAGGTCATCTCTTTGACACCTGGGTCTGAAAGTCTTTCTGCAGTCTAATTAATCTATCCTTTACTCCCTCCACGTGGAGGCCCAATCTGATATCACGGGTTAACTCCTCATCTATTGAAGGCTGATTCCCATGAGAAACAGAATTCTAAACATCCTTGGTAACTGCTGATCCTTCTCTCTGATCTAAGGCCTTCAATTCAGCCTGTGTTTCAGCCTGGGGCCCTTCCACATAGCCCTATATCCCAGAATATCAAGGCAGAAAATCTCACAATATCTGCTTTGAACTGGGTTATCTGAATCCACACTCAGATAAGGAGGGATTTCCTGCCTTGATATTATGGGATATAGGACTGTGTGGGAAGGGTCCTTGATCACACACAGACCATCATTTCCGTCATCCTCTGAGGATTTCCCAGCATCCTGCTGCTGAGCTCCAGCAGTATCTTATAAATAAATGTCCTTACTTATATGGTTATAGTTTTTTAGCTGTTGCATCCATTTAACAGTTGTGCAAGTGAAATTCAGCAAGCATGACTTATACATATGTGGCTGTGCATTCTCAGCTGGTATTTGATCTTTTGTCAATGCCTCTAATAAACCACATAATTCTCATCTGTTTGTTTGCTATGAATATACTGAATTCCTTTATTTTTTGTTTCTTTAGTTCCTCACAACTAATATAATATCTTTTCATCCAACAGAGAATTAAAGCAGGTAGCCTTATTGACCAAATAAAAGTTATATGTGTTGGTGACCACATAGAATCTATCAATGGAAAAAGCATAATTGGCTGTCGTCATTATGAAGTGGCTAAAATTTTAAAAGACTTGGAAAAGGGACAGACATTTACGCTAAAATTAATAGAACCAATGAAATCATTTGGTGAGTGTCATGTTTTCATAATCAATTATACTTTTTAGTTTCCTTTTGTGTATGTTTTCAGATAAAGTAAGTATCCATGCAATTTGAAATATAAAGGTAAGAACAGTCATTCTAAATATTTAGATATTTGTTTTGATTGATCAATAATTAGACTATAAATTGTGAACCCCTATTTTTCATTTCTTTTGAGCATTACCTAAAATGATAATTATTTTTGATCAACATTTCAAATTCTACAATTAATTTCTACTACAGATATGATTGAGCCAAGAGCAAAGGGTGGAACTTTTGTAGAAGGGAAAATCTCCAGAGGCAGAGAAACTCTTCGACTGAGAAATAAAGGACCTGCTACAGTGGAAGAAATGGTAAGTTTCTCCATTATGATTGTGACTTCTGAGGATATGGGACAGAACTCTTGGTTTTAGAAACCTTTAAACCAGTATTCTGGTTCAGATATCATTCAGAAACTATGATTTAAGATAGGAAGCACAACATCAGCAGACTATGCTTTATAAGGATAGCTATATCGGAACTGACCCAACTGCTTCTTTTGTGGATGTTAAAGTGTAGGATGGGAAACTGCAGCACAAAACGTACACACAGAAATTGTTAGGGTGAAACTTGCCCAGGGTCACTCAATGTGTTTCATGGTTGAGAAGGGATTTGAACAGAAGTCTCCAGAGTTACAGTCCAACATTCAAGCCGCTTCTCTTCTTGTGCGTTCAATAGGATCACGTCTAATTTTCCCCATATAATGGTACCAAAGGATCCCCTGGGGCTAATGTAAGCTAATTCTTTGCATGGCACAATTCATTCTCCATAATGGGAGGAAAAACAAAACCAAAGAAGAGAGACAGAAGGAAGAGTAATCAGTAAGGCTTATGAAAATGCAATATCCCCATTTATTCTTAATCTATTTCCAGCTCTGTGTCACATGAGACCCTTATTTGTCTAATGTCTTATCCAGTTTTAGCAACTTGAGCAAAGCAAAATGTATTCAATCTGAATAGTCAATAATCAATGTAAATTTTGAAGGTTACTTTTTATATTTATGTTTTTTTTTGTTTTTCTAAAGCCTTCAGACGTTGAAGAAAAAGCTATCAAAAAAGTGGACGATCTTCTTGAAATGTACATGGGGATAAGAGATCTTGAACTAGGTGAGCATTTATGGAACCAAGTGTCATTTTAGTACCATGGAATATCAGCTCAAAACCCGAGTCTGAATTTTTTTGCATGTGGTGCAAAATACTTTTTCTTTCTTGTTGAATGATCAGGGTAGTGTGGTTAGGGTATAATGCTCTAATGTATAATGTATACAGTTATGATGTCTGTGTCTATCTGTGCCTAAGGCTCCATCTACACAAAAAATATGAATCAGTGCTAATGTGCATTATCTTACTCCATTTTTAATTCTGTTAACATCACATTAGCACGTTATAAAATCAATCTAATGTGTATTGACTGCCACACAATCTCTGCTTTGGATTTATATTGGGACAAAAGGAAGTGTGCCACATAATTACTTCATTGGATTATTCTTGGTGAAACTATTATATTTTGAAATGGGGTGATGGAAGAGAAAGAGACTAAGGGACATTCCACAGATTATCAAGGCAGAAAATCCCACAATATCTGCTTTGAACTGAGTTATCTTAGTCCATGCACAGATAATGTGGGCCCTGAGAAGGAGAGGAGGGAGAGCTTCATCCATATGATCTATTTACACCCTATTTACCCTGTGAAATGTAGTTCCTGATCCACCCTCTACATCTGATCCATTTATATCCTCTACATCCCAGTGAAATGTAGTGCCCTATTTTGTCTCTCTCATATACTCTGTTTACACCCCATCTGCCCCAATGATAGTTGCAAAGAACTCAAGGAACAAAAGTCATCTGGTGGAAGGAAGTGGCTTTCAGTAGCCAACTGGGAGATGCTAGCTTGCTTTAAATGAGATTGAGCTCAGCCCAAAGCCACATGCCCAATAGTATTTACAGTGCATATCTCTCATCTGTGGACACATAGACTTTTGCTGCATCTGAGAGTCTGTGGCAAAAGCTTTTTTAAATAATCTCTTATGTGGACTTGGATATTTTCCCTCTAGCTCTCCTTCTTGCTGAATTGGAGGAGTGCTTGATTGTTCATTAGGCTGAACTGCTGAGGAAGGGCTCGACTTCATCTTATTCTTCATCTGAGGAAGACAAATACTCTGTGAAGGGGGGCATAAGATACAAATCTGCCCCAGAGGGACTCTAGTACCCAATATAAGATTAATCAGGCAGTCATAGGAATCATGCAGTGGCAAATGGTCTGCCTGTTTTTGATCAAAAAATCTTTGAGGTCTTTGTACTTGACAGGCAGGACTACAGCCATCTTTCCCCCCTTTTAGACCTAGAGTTCATACTTTCACCGTTCTGAGTTTCTCGTTTTGACTACACTTACCTGTGTGATAGCTCAGAACATGGAAGATTACTGGGAAAATGGACAAAAGTATATTGCTTGTGATGGGGGTGAATATATTGCTGTTTTCCTTATAAACAGATTGGAACAAAACACTGGGGTAATGAAGATAATTCACCCTGCTCTCCCTTCCTCATGGGATGAGTTTCTCAGGGCAAAAGTGTTCTCACTTTTCTTTGTTATGAAGGGTCCAAACATTTTGCAAAGTCTTATCTAATTTGAGACCTGTCTGTCATTAGAACTGCTCCTGAAGTGCTTAGTTGTCTTGCACAGAAGGAACATCTACACTGTAGAAATAATGCAGTTTGATACCACTTCTGCTGTTATGGCTCATTGCTATGGAATCATGAGAATTGTGGTTTTACAAGGCTTTTAGCCTTCTCTGCCCAAAAGTACTGGTGTCTCAGCAAATTACAAATCTCTGAATTCCATAGCATTGGGCCTTGACAATTAAAGGGGTATCAAACTGCATTATTGCTGTTGTGCTGATGCATCCACCGATTCTATAGCTGAAAAGGAGTTGTTTAGACTGGAAGCAATCTGTGCCACTCTAAACTCTCAGCCAGAAAGAAATTCAGAAGTCAAAACACCAGTCTGGTAACAAACAGCTAAGAAGCCATAAATCAGAACAAAGTCCAAGTGGAGGAGTCAAAAAGCAGTTCAAGGCTCATAAATCCAAGATATACAACAGCAGGGTCAAGTCATGATGGCTGTCAAGAGGGGACCAAAAGTTTGCTTCCTTTGAATAACAAATGTCCACTCATTGCTTTTAAGGACAGGGAGTTTAGGCATTGTATTTAAAACATGTGTCTCAAAAAGCCTTTTGCTGAGTCTGCAAGGGAGATTTGTGTCAGTCATCTGAATCTTTGGCCCCTTCTACACTGCCATATAATCCAGATTATCTACTTTGAACTGGATTATTTGAGCCTAATTGCCGTACAACCCACTTCAAAGCAGATAATCTGGATTTTATTTGGCAGTGTAGAAGTGACCTTTGTCTTCCCCATGGGCTCGGTGGTCATACTTTCACCTCCTTCTGTTGCTGCAGAGTATTTTGTTTCTCTGGAGAAAAACATGACAGAGTCTCTAGTCCACTATGTGCCATGACAGTGTGTTGGCTACAGTGTGTAGGTGTGCCACACAATGACAAGAATATTGGAAACGTATGTTCCTATCTTACAAATCATATATTTCAAAATATAAATGAAAGGTTTTCATGAGATGTGTTACGTCCTCATACATTTTGTTATAATGTATTTATGGGTCTTTATCTCTTATGAGGGGTTAGTTTAACCCCTAGTTTGCTGACACCCCTGCTACACTGCCATATAATCCAGATTATCAAAGCAGATAATCTGCATTCTCTACTTTGAACTGGATTATATGTGTTTTCACTGCCATATAATACAGATCAAAGCAAATAATGTAGATTTTATATGGCAGTGTAGAAGGGGCCTGAATTACTGTTTCTCGAAATGATACATGTGATACATGTGTGATAAGTGTGTCACCAACATATGTTTGGAAAACTCTGCTCTAGCTGAAGTGAGGGAGGATTGGGCTACTATGAAATGTCTGCTCAGGTGGGTTTGCTGTGTCCTTGGACCATTAACTCTCAAGTGTGAAAGTATGACAGGTGGGGCAGCAGAGTACTTAGGTCTAGATAAAGGTGCAGATAGTGGTGGCTGGGCTAGCAGTAGAGCTGGCGGAGCCTGCAAAATAGTCACAGCAGCAGCAAGTTGATTCATCTGCTCCTGAAGTGCCAGGTTCTCTTGCAACACAGCTTCCAAAGAAGAGGAGGTGTATAGACCAGAAGCAGCCTTTCCCACACTTAACTCTCAGCCAGAAAGAAGTCCAGAAGCAATGCCTGATACTCCTCCCACTTATCTGATCTGTTTACACCCCATCTATCACAGTTGGACTTTGTGCCTGGTACTTCCTTCCCCTAGTCGATCCATTTTCATCCTCTCCACATCATTGCAACTCAGCATGTGTGTACAGTTTAGAATTAATATAGTCCATTTGCATATTTACTGCCATTAAATCATGAGAGCTATAGTTTTACGAGACCTTTATATTTTTCTGCCAAAGAGTGCTGGTGCCTTCCTAAACTAACCTTAAACCGCTTTGAGTCCCCCTAGGGGTGAGAAAAGCGGCATATAACTACTGTAAATAAATAAATAAGCTACAAATGTCAAGATTCCATAACATTGAGCCATGGCAGTTAAAGTAGTGTCAAAGTGTATTAATTCTGCAGTGTAGATAGACCCCCAAAGATTCCTACATCTGATTCATTTACATATCATCCGCCCCTGGTGGTGCAATGGGTTAAACCCTTGTGTCGGCAGGACTGCTGACCGAAAAGTCAGTGGTTTGAATCTGGGGAGAGGGATGAGCTCCCATCTGTCAGCTCCAGCTTCTCATGCAGGGACATGAGAGAGCCTCCCACAGGATGCTTGCAAATGGTTTATTCTTTTACTTGCAGTTTCTCAAGTCGCTCCTGACATGAAAAGAAAAATCTGCCCCAGCGAAACTCAGTGTTTGACCTTGATGTCCTACCTGAGATGTTTTTACCCCATCTGCCCAGTAATACTCAGCATCTAATCCTCCATTCCCCATTTGATTTGCTTACACCCCATCTTCCCAAGCTACTCTCAATGCCCGATTCTTCTCCACCCATCTATTTTATTTATATCTCATCTGCTGCAACAACACTCAGTGCCCATTCCTTGCACCACACCTGATCCACATCTGATTTACACCCCATCTACCCATTCATCTCTGTTCTCAATCCTACCTCCTTCATCTGATCATTTGCTGCCACATTCAACCCAGTGAGATTCAGTGCCTGATCCTCCCTCCCAATTTGACAGTTTACACTTCATCTACACCAGTGATTGTGCCTGGTCCTTCCTTCCTTCATCTGATTTGGTTACATAATTTCTGCTTTGACTAGACTCAGGCCCTTTTACACTGCCATAAAATTCAGATTATCTGCCTTGAACTGGATTATATGGCAGTGTAGACTCATATAATCCAGTTCAAAGCAGACAGTATGGATTATCTGCTTTGGTAATCTGGATTATATGGCAGTGTTTTATCTTCTCTTCTCATCTGATCCATTTAGGTTACATAGGTCCTTCCACACAGCTGAATAAAATCCCAAGTTTCTGCTTTGAATTGGAATATATGGCAGTGTAGACTCAGATATCCCAGATCAAAGCAGATATTAAGGGATTTTCCGTCTTGATATTCTGGGTTATATGGCTGTGTTAAAGGGCCCATAGTTACTTGCTCTAAGAAAACTACGATATAATATGTGTGTAAGGAAGAAAGTGTGTGTGTGTGTGTGTGTGTGAGAGAGAGAGAAAGAGAGTGAGAGAGGGGGGAATATACAGATAGTGCTCAATATTCACTGTGATTTGGGGCAAGAATCTTTGAGAAAATGAAAGGACACCTTTTTAAAATATGAGAGAACACCTTTCCTGCAATGCCTAGCTCTAGATCCCCCAGCATGGCTCTATAGTTAACTTTCATTGGAAGCTAATTACAGAATTGCACTAAATGACCTAGAGATTCCCAAAGATGTGTTCTCTTTAGAAATCTCTAGGTCCTCTATGTGACTGTAACACAGGTATAAGCAAACTCCAAGTGCTTTGGACTTCAACACCCACTTGGATCAGAGCCCACTCTATGCCCCCCTCTTTCATAGGCAGTTTGTGGTTGCAGATATACTGTGATTTCAAATCAGTTCCATCTTTCCAGGAAGCGCTCATAAGATTGTAGCCAAACTCTGCCTCTCCAAGGAAATGTCATGTGTCACCTAGTATATGAAGTTTATTGAATATGTACCTTATATATATGCAAACAAATTTAATTTGAGGGTAAAGCACATTAGGTTTTGCCCACTCAGATCAGAGCCCCCCTTCCTTCCTTCCTTCCTTCCTTCCTTCCTTCCTTCCTTCCTTCCTTCCTTCCTTCCTTCCTTCCTTCCTTCCTTCCTTCTTCTTTTTTTGTAGAGGGCAAGTTCTTAATTTATCCCACTATAATGAAAGTACATACAAACTACCAAACATATTTAGTTGCTACATGCATAACCTGGCTGCATAACCAACCATTGAAAGCAAGCAGACAATTGAGGACATTTGGTAGAATCATTCGCATCAACACATAAACACGAGGACACACATACACAAACAGATTGAGAGAGCATGAATAGGTGTAGAACATCTCACAAATTTGTTGCTTAGCATAATGCCTATTAAGTCTTAATTTCATACTAAGTAGATGTGATCGATCACCTACAGAAATGAAATGGAAAATGGACTCATTTAATAATTCCCATTACTGTTCACTTAGAAATTTCATTTTTATTACTTCTGCTAAATTAGTTGAATTACCATGGCTGTGATGTGACACTGAACAGGCAAAAGATTAGCATAATATATTCCAATTCCCACTCTAATCTGTTCAGAAAGGGGTTTTACTTTTAGGTAATATAGATCATTACTATGTTAAATTATCATTTTCATGTAATCGTTTTCTTCAAATTTCAAATAAGTAAGTTTAGAAATATAACTAAGAATAAATAGTAACTCCATAATTTTGAGTAGTTTAGTTCACCAGAGTAATAATAATAATAATAATAATAATAATAATAATAAACTTTATACCGCGCCACCATCTCCCCGATGGGGACCCGGGGTGGCTTACATGAGGCCAAGCCCAAACATCAAGTTACAGCAGAATAAATCTGAAAATGTAAATGGAAAATGCAGACAATAAACAACAACATCATTATTACATAAAACATGTGAATACATAACGATATAAAATTACAATAAACACAATCACAATGACAATGGGAGGGCTACATGTAATGATTAAGAAAAACTAATTAAAAACTCGGGTGAGAGAAGCAGGTATTTGCAGAGGAGGGTTATACAAGAATTAAATGCGAATACAATTATGTATATATTTTCAGTATTATAGTAGTTACTGACTGTAAATAATTTAATTAACAGCATATTTATTTGAACTATTGTTGGGTAGGTCTGATCAGCATACAATTGAATCTTTAATATTTATTTTATGCCAACGCCATGCATCAATTAGATTAAATAGGAGGAAAAAATAAAAGTAAAGGGTATAAGAATGCTAGTTTGTCATATCACTAAAGCAATTGTGTGTGGGCACCTATAACTTATTGGTTATGGATTTGGCTGTGGTGCTGTTGGCTATTATGTGCTGGTCTTGGGCACATTTTTGTAGGACTTTTTTCATCAGGTATGGAAGCAAAGCACCCTTTACTTGGAAATGTGCAACATACAACCTCATCAGACTTGCTGCCAGAATTGCCATGCATTGTGACAAATCCAGCAGTGCCCACGGGGGGCATGTGGAACCCACATCGCCTGACTCACCCACTGCCCCATCCTATGGGGGGAAGTGTCAGCCACCTGGCTCTGCTCCCCTTGATCCAATGCAACATGGGAATCCTCCCATATTGCTGCCATGGTGGCATGTGCCGGTTCGTCAATACTTTTGCGAAAGAGCCCCACTGGAAGTTGCTCTACGTCATGGGATGGGAGCTGACAGGCTCCATTGCAAAAGTATTGACAAATTAGTGCATGCCGCCGAAAAGTACCTTATATGATAAGGTTGTAATAGAGCTTTCAATTAAAAAGCCATAAGGGAAGTCAAGGTAATTTATCTACTTCCCAGAGAGAGGCCATAAAAAGCCTTCCAGCTGATGAATAATTGTGGGAAGCATTTATATTTCTTTATGAACAAAACTAGTGTGGCATGATGATATGAGTGTTGGACTAGGACTCTGGGAGACCAAGGTTTGATACTTTGATCAGCCATGAAATTCCATTGGGTGACCTCGGTGAAATTGCTCTTATTCAGCCTAAGATGAAGACAATGAACAAATCTCGCCAAGTAAACCCTGCAGTACATTCATGTTGAGTCTCCATACATCAAAAACAACTTGAAGGCACACGAGAAATCAAAAGAAATGTTAATGTTTGGTACTGGCATGGAGATGCTACATGTGTTTTGGCCAATGGATGTTATGGAATGTTTCTAATTGTGTGTGTGTGTTTTGACAATAACCACAGTGGACCAGTCTAATGAAAATTACTTATTATGATATTATATTTATAATATTATTTATAGCACTAGGTTTTCCCATGTATTGAAACATTAAATGTGTTTCTAATCCTGTAATGTGCAGTAGATGTTCAAAACAACAGTTCTTAACATTGACCACGAGGGGTCAGGAGTGGACTAATGAATATCAAGTTGGTACATAATGTTAGAAAAATATCAGTATCTTCATGCTACTACGATTGTCACAACTTGTTTGCCATTAAGACGGATTTGACTTACAGTGAAGTGACTCTACAGCATCAATCCAACATCCCTTCAGCATTGCATGTGTAAATATATCAAAGCAGTGAGTAATCTGTGACATCTTGGAATAACCAGGCATTTCAGTAGAACTTTGGGTTTTCACTGGAATTTATATTTGTTTATTTACTGAATTTATACTCTCAAAGTGAAATCCAAGGCAACAAGTGATTTTATGAGTGATTTTATGAATGCTTTCTCTTAACTTTCAATTTACATTTTACGAAAATGCCCCAAAAAGTAGTTTTAATAAATGCTACATTTTATACCCGGTGCCTTTGAAAATATTCCAGGTAACTCTTTTTTCTTTTTGTTTGTAGCTGGAACAATGGTAGAAGCTGGAAAAGGCAAAAAGAACCCGGATGAGTTTGCAGTTGCACTTGATGAAGCTTTGGGAGACTTTGCATTCCCAGATGAATTTGTCTTTGACGTGTGGGGGGCCATAGGAGATGCAATGCAAGGCCGATTTTAAAGAGGATGTCAACATTCTGGGGACATGAAATGTATGGCAACAAACATGACATAAAACACAAAGCAAGTCCAAAGAAGGAGAAACTTTTGAATATTCAGAAGCTTGCATCAATAATGATACTGTTTGAAAATGACACAGATATATTGCAAAATAAAGCTGGGTTTAGTACTGTACTCATGTGAAGCTTTTAGAATGCTACAGAAATCAATTTGAAATATTCATGTGAAATCTTCAAAAAGCTCCAAATTATTGGGGCTGTTACTCTGCCTTGGTACTTTTCTAAAGTCATGTGGGCAGTAGTTCTAGAGGTTATTGGTGACAGTCCCATAAAATATGTATAATATTTCCAATCAAGAAAACAATCTGGGAGTTTCTATATTCAAGGAAAATGTTTCTGAAGAATTATATTTTAACACATATCTGATGTTTTGTTATTTCCCTATAGTAACTACAGTGGGCATGATGCTCTGTTTCCAGCATTTAATTCCTCTACAACAGGCTATTATAATAGGGAATGTGTGGATATTAAAGGAATGTCATAGTATAGATCATGACTCGGGGGACATAAATCAGCAGTGGTGGAGTACACACTTTGAACATGCTGAGGTATTTGAGAAAAAACACAGAGATCTGGGAATGACATGGTGTTTTGATTTGAATGCTGGGCTATGGCTTTGGAGACCAGGGTTTGAAGTTCTGCTAAGCCATGAAAACCCATTGGATGACCCTGGGCAAGTCACAAATTTGCAGCCCCCGAAAACTCTGGTCATTTTCACTTTAAGGCCACCATACATTGGAAATTATTTGAAGGCACACAACAAAAACAACAGGGTTCTTAGAGCATTTCCACATCTTTGCATGCGTTTTAGGGGAATATTGCCCCCAAATTGTTTCAAAAACATTTTTGAGGGGGATGGGGGTTTTGGAGGACAGATGGACAGGGTTTTGTCACCACAAATATGGAGTTAAGGGGCTGGGCATGGCCCATTATCTGCTCTACAACCAACTAGTATTAAGTGCTTGCTCAGCCCCTGAAGCCTCCAGTTCAGCAGTTGCTAACCTTTTTCAGGTTGCGACCCCATTTCATAGAGGCAAAGGGACCCGTGACCCCTGATACATTAAAAATAGGCTTTATACTAGGGCAAATGAAAACTCATTGAAAATAGATTTTTCAGTATAATATAATTCAAAATAATGTTAACTTATGACATATTTTATGGAATGATTGAAACTGTAACTCATTAACAAGCTTAAAAATTCAAAATTGAACTGAACCTGGAGCTCAGAACAAGCTAACCCGATGAATGAAAGACCGTTGTATGTTTACGCAAACAAATCTCTGTGCAGGACACAATGACATGATTTTTTGTTTTCCCCTTTTAACATTTTCATAGCTCACCACTGCCTGGCAACCCCAAAGAAAACCCTTTGTGATCCCATTTGGGGTCCACTACTTTAGTTAAAGATCTACAGATGAGTTTGGAATATCTCGGATATCAAAAGCTGCTGTCAATCAGAACAGGTAGTACTTAGAATCACAGAGTTGGAAGAGACCACAAAGCCCATCCAGTCCAACTTCCTGCCATGCAAAACAAACAAACAAACAAACAAACAAACAAGCAAGCAAAGCACTTCTGACAGGTTGTCATTCAGCATTCAGTTTAAAAATGTCCTTAGCAGCAGAAAACAAGCTGACTCCATCTTCAATATGACATCTTTTCAGATATTTAAATATAGCTATCCTGCCTCCCCTCAGCCTTCTCTTAACAATTTTTGGTAAATTTACTATCCGTTGGAATAAAATGAGATGGCCTTATTTTTAAAGAGTACTAGCCAAAGAAAGTCTTAACTGTGTTCTGTGCTTGTATTTTAATATATAAGAGCCCTCGAAAATTGGCACTGCCCACAAGTGATTCTTCAGTCAGTTTTCACAATTCCCAGTTTTCAAAAGAAAAAATGACCAAAGAATATATCTCAAATTTGAAAATATCATTTGATTTTCTTTTTATATAAATACCATTCCAAATCATACCTTACAAATACAGTACAGGTAAATTTAATCAGGAGTGGGTGATATATTTTCTTCCCAGTGTTATAAGGCGGCATCACATAGTATACTCCACTGCTGGCTATATTGTTCAAGGTCGATGAAATTGGCAATCCAATGAAAACCTTGTCTACTGTGACTTAGATGAATGTGTTGTTATAAAATAATGTTGGAAAAACTCTAATCTTGTGCTAGTTCTGCAGTACCAATTCTTTATGTCCCCTTTTTGTGGCATCCCTCAGTGATGAAGAAAAATCAGTTTCAGATGGCCTCAAAGCTCCTAGGAGCAAGTTGTTGGGATGCACCGAGGGCTACAATAGGATGGTGTGATCAACCATTTCAATTTGGACACAGTGTAAAAAATCCCCAACTTTACCTCCTTTTTGCTATTGTTTGTCATAAATCATAAAAAAAGATTTTTTTAAAAAAAACTGTATTTATTTAGTTTCACTTATGTTTTGGGAGTTTGGTCAGGTGTTGCCGCTGAACTGCAGTGAAAGTTAAAGAAACTTTAAAGATAATTATGCTATTTTCCCTCACAAACTATTTCTACTTAAGCAAGAGTTGAATAAAAGCCTATTTTTTATGGTACTCCCATCCATTTTTACTTGCAATGGACAGAATCCGCCAGAGTGCTGTTACAGAATCTCCCTATTTACACCAGCATTGGTAATTCTCCAGGCAGCCTAAGAAAAAACTCTTCTGGAAGACTGAGAAATCCCTGGAGCAGAACTTCGGCACCACGGAGGTTGTAACACTAAAGGCAACGAAGTCTCAGTTCTGGTACTGGATACCAAAGCTGGGTCTAGGTTTATAATTTGCACAATATTCATATTGTATATGGTTATACATGTTTATATTATAGACTGTTATCTTTCATAAAATACAGTACACCCCCCCCACACACACACATATCCGCAGGGATACATTCCAGGCCTTTCATGGCTAATAGTGAACTCTATTAAATGAACTGTCTCAGGTGGAAGCATACCATAAAATCATGATGGAGGACCTAGGAAGTGCCCAGAGAGGACATGTTTTGTCAGATAGAGGTAAATGAAACCACTGCTACCGGTCCCAGAGACACAAGGGTTGTAACCTCAACATAGCTGATCTTGATTATTATAATCCTGTTTATGACACCAGCATATATATATTGGTCACATTTTAAAATGTATACATTGTTTCTATTTATTCATGTGTTAATGTAAATGTGCTTAAGATTTAGTGTTAGATTTTAAAAAATGTAGATGATTATAATTTAAAACTCGGAGCCTAACGTGCCAATTATCAAAAAGAGAAATGTGATGAGTTCCACTTGAAACAATTCCACTTAAGCTTCTACAAATGTTTAAGCTATAGACATTTTTAATTAGACAGAATGAAATGACTGGTGATTTTTAGCAACACACTTGACTCATAAGGGCTATGTAACCATATCAGAGGTGAATTTACAAATAATAACCTTTCCCCTACCAATTCATTGTTGAGATCGTTGGGGATTTCTTGTATCAGCACTAAGTGTAATCTGTCCAGGACACCAGAGGAAATAACAGAACTATGCAAAGCCACTTCTGAGATTGGGTGTGTCATTCATATAGATTATAGATGACATATTTGTGACAATTTATTGATAGGAAAATAAATGAAGCATTTTATTTCAGGAAAATAGTTTGTTTTCTGTAGCTCCATTTGAACATCATTGGAAGCCAGGAGAATATATCAGGTTGCGTTTGGGTTTCAACTGGGCTGCCTTATATACAGACGTTGTGAGTGCATATGAATGAATTCTACCTGCTAAAGTCACAGCAAAGGCAGTATCCTCAAGTACTGGAAAAGGAAAATGCTTTGTCCATTATGCTTTTTATCATAATGGAGCATCTGCAACAAAGAAGACTTCTATATAATCTGTCTTCGATGTACTTTCATGATGATCTTGAGAAAGAGCAAAAGAGATTTTTGGTCCGTACTTGTCCTAGTTGGATTCCCACCAGAACGAAATCGTGAATACATCTTAAATACTGGCAAAAATGTTAGGGTGAAATGACAGTTCTGTAAATATAAGTCAAAAGAACAGAAGCAGCTAAGATGATATTTAAATCATTTTGTTTAAAAATGCTTGAAAACAAATTTGGATTACTTATTTTAAAGTATCTGTTTAGTGGCTACATTTTGCCACCTTTAATTTCAATCTTTTTTTTGTAAGTATATTTAATTTACTACACATTATATTACACTTTATATACAGATAACTCTGGGCCCATCCAGACAGCCCCTTTAACACGGGAGTTCCCGCAATTAAAAGGAGGCTGTCTAGATGACTTCCTGGGCAAACCCAAATTAATTCGCCACAAACCAGGAAAACTTTTGAGGGGGCAGTTCAGACAGTAGTTACATGGTTTTCTGGGCTAAATTAACCCGGAAATCCACAAGGCCACCAACCCCCTCCCCAAAAGCCCTTTTAAAAAAACAAAAGAATTTGCCTGGTGTCCATTAGAGGGCTTCCGGAGCTCTCCTGGCACATAGAAATGATGCACCAGGAGAAAGGGGAGGGGAGGAAAATTGCTTCTGCCTCCCCTTTCTTCTGGTGTGCCATTTCTATACACCAGGAGAACTCTGGCAGCCCTCTAATGGAGGCCAGGGAAGTTCTTTTGTTTTTAAAGGGTTTTGGGGGTCTTTTATGGGGGGGGGGGGGTTAGTGTCAAGGTGTTCTCACGGAAAGTTCCAAGAGAACATCTGGGCACCCACTCCAGAAAGCATGGGGTGTGCGTGGATAGGGACCAAAGAAAGCATGGGTGCATGTGGATAAGGGCCCATACAGCCCTATATCCTGGGACATAGAGCTGTGTGGAAGCTCCCTCCTAAAACAGTATTAAAACTATGGTTAAATTCTGTTGATTGCGGGGCTGGGGAGTTGTTCTGTGTGATTTTAAACTGTCTAGGTTTATCATATTTTCTGCTCCCCATAACAATAACTAGAGCAACTCATAAAACGACATTTGTTTCACAAACATTGAGGCCTAATTGCAATTACAGTCCCAGCTAGAATAGATTAATTGAATCAATGGAAACCTGATAAGTCAACGTTTAGTAAGCTCCATTGATTCCATGGACTTCATCTAATTGGAATTAACTATTGAATTTGAACCTATTTTTTCAGCCAAATATGTCATGACAGCAACATTTTAAATGGCTCAAGCTCATTTGTGCAAATGCTGTAACTTTGCAATGTTCTTTTATACTTGGATGCCAATAAATAAAAGAAATCTTATTCTTAAAATTTAAATATGGATTTTCTTAAACTGAGGTGGAATTCTGTAGGAATCCTGAGGGTAGACAGGATTGTAAGACAATGTACTACACAGAATTGCCTTTCCTCAAAGCTTTCATGTTTAGCAAGTCACGTTTTAAATGGGTTGCAAAGGTTCTTGCTCTGTTTAAAGCAATGATGGGCAACCTTTTGAGCTTGGTGTGTCAATACTCGCCAAAAAACCGAGCATAACTCGATTGGGGTGTCACTTCGAGAAAAAACCCATAATTTCATGATACTTATAGTTTAATAACAAAAATATATTATTGTAATATATAACAGTATTTAATAAACCAAAAACTAATAATTTAACTTACCTACTTTTTCTATAATGCCATATATCTCGGCATTATAGAAAAATGCTGGTGTAGGAGCCGAGGATGAAATGTCCTCCTTGGGATGCAGCCCCATCTTCTCTGTATGCGGTCGCATGCGGCTGTGTGTCATCGAAAATGGCTACGCGTGTCAGTACTGACACACGTGTCATAGGTTCGCCATCATGGGTTTAAAGTAAAGAAAGTTGTCCACCTCTGGTCTAACATATCCATGCCCATCAATAAATGCAGAGGATTGTACTCACAGCTTGCTCTATTGTACAATCAGTAAACTGCACTTTGAAATGTACTCTATTGCTGATTGTGATATTCTGCGCAAAAAGAAACTGTTTGTAACAGTTATTGTACAAGAAGAACAGATAATATTTCATTAGAAATATAAAATGGTCTGGAATTCCCATTTGAGATGTTAAGAGATTCGCAAAACTAATTTTATTAGCAGTTACGGATATATTGAAGGTTTTAAATCCTGTAACACATGAGTACAGCTCAAGAAATTATTGGAGCCCTCAAAATATTTGGCACAGTGAAAAAGGCCTTTCCTTAAGCAGGGAAAAATCTGAAAAATAAGAAATCCCAGGAGAATTTGGTGGGTGAAATGTTGGATTTGTGTGTGTGTGTTGCAGACTTTGATTTATGCAGACTTTGGCTTCGGTTCTCCCCTCTACCCCCTGGTTATTATGGATCACAAATCAGATAAAATGTTGATTTGTTAAATGCAACCATAATAAAAAGGCAGAGCTGTCTGATGGTTGGTTGGTTCTATGAGTAAAGACTAGAAAGCATTTTTCATGTTAACAAATAAAGTATAGTCAAAACACTGGGCAGAGAAAAAAGCTGATAGGAAGAAACTCAATCTATTTGAGATGTGCTGGAGAATGGTTCTACAGACTGTGGGCTCCTAAAAATATGCATCCTAGAGCAAACCAAGGCTATATTTTCCTTAGAAGCTAAGACTGATATTGTTGTACTTTGGCCAGATCATTAGAAGACATAGCTCACTAGAAAAGACAGTATTTGTATTTATTTTATTTTATTTATTTATCCCCCAGAGCCCTTTTAAAAGTAAAGAAAATGATTTTCCTCCCCTCTGCTCTCCTGGTGTATCATTTCTACGTGCCAGGAGAGCGGCTGCAACACTGTACTGGAGGCTGGGTAAGTTTTCTTTACTTTTAAAAGAGCTTTTGGGACTTTGAGAGAGGGGGTAGGGCTTCCAGATATCCTTGTGGACCAGTCCTGCGAGAGCATCTGGACACCCACCTCAGAAAGTGCACACTTTCTGGGGTGGGTGGGGACAGCCCCCCAGGAACATCCGCTTTTTAAAAACGCTTAAGGTTCTGGGATAAAGGCCTGTCTGGAACTGCCCATAAATAAAGCTTCCTTCATTAACTAACAACAACTAAGACATTATCTGGAGACATCAGAGTGGACCCTTTTCTGGGGTATTTTTGTGACAAAAGACCTTTCAATTGTGATACAATCCTTTCACAGATTGCTGCCATTGGAACACACCAGTATGGAACACTCAAGTAGAGCACACAGAAAATCGCATCTATTTCAGTGTGCTGATACAGAAAATCAGATTTACTTTAACCTGTTACAGAAGGAGAACTGCCTAGTATTTCACAGCATTTGTTAATATTTATTGTTTTAGCTTGTTTTTAATTTTTATATTGTATGTTTTTACTGACTGTAAACTGCCTTGGACCCTTGACTGGGAAAGGGCAGGGTATACATTTCATATATAAATAACAGAAAACACCTCAGGCTTCTTTTAGAATTATTGCGTTTATATAGGGATTAGGAACAATCCAAGGAAAAGAAACTGCCATATAAGATTATGTGGCGGAATGTAAAATAAACCATGTGTAGTTCACATTTGATCAGCCCACACACTGCCTTGCCAGGGAAAGAAAATATGCAGATGAACAATAATGAACAAGTAGTTTATTCATCTTAATTCAGAACAACATATGTACAATATGATCAGTTGCATCATCTCACTAAATGCCCTTTCAGAGAGATTTAAAATGATATTTCTTTGTCCATATGAGATACCTTCTTTTCAGCAGCCAAGAAACAAATCACTCTGTCTCTCTCTGCTTCTCTTTT